GCCCGGGCTTCGCTCCCGCCGCGGCGGAACCCCCCGGGTCAGGGACCAGAACCATCGATCGTGGAGCAGTTCGAGGCCCTCGTCATCCGTCACCGAGCAGAGAGTGTTACGCAGCGGGCAGGGGAGTCCAGGGCTGCTGAGGGCAGCGGCGCAGAGCCGGCACGCGGCCCTGCCGACACAGGGACGTCCCTTCTTCAACTGCCTATGGAGAGGTTTAGACTCACGAAGGAAAAAAACCCAAATTCCAAAACTAGGTCACCAACTAACAAGGTTCACCACGGCTCTGAGTCACTGCTGGGGGCTGTGCAGGGCTGTCTCGGTAACGGGACGTGAAGAGGGCGAGAGCAGCTCTGAAGGGACCAACGGCAATACAGGGGGAAGATGTAGCGAGAGCCCCAAAACCAGGCCTTAAGGAGAGGTCACGCCTGGAGCAGGTACACGTGAATGAAGAGCTCAGTAAAACAGACCGTAGTTTCATAAGAGATTTATTGACTATGCCTGTTTGCTTTAGTACTGCTAACATTTCAATGCACAGTGCAGGGGAAAAAAAGGCATGTCACGAAAAGATGGTTTGGCTAATTGTGATGTTTTCCAGGATACGAGTGTGCACGTTTTCACCCAGCAGCCAGAGCACCAGATGGCAGCAGAAAGCCGAGCTGGCGCTGAAAGACAGTGATGGCAGCGGGGTCCCCCCAAACCTGCAGCTCCCTGGGCCACGGAGACAACCTTACAGGAGACAGCCTGGGGGTCTTGCCCATTCCCCTGTAACATTAAAAACTAATGGGTAGGCTGTACCTAATGTCCTGCACCTGTCTTTTTTAAAAAAAAAAAAAAAAAAAAAGGACTGAACTTTGCTGCAAAGCAGCAGCTGCTTCGAGGTACACAGGGCATTGACAGGATGCTCTCTGCCACCCAGCAGTCTGTGGACAGCACTGCAGAGCTTTTCTGTTAGGCTAGATTTACAATATTCATTAAGGCAGAAAGCAGCAATAACTTACTAAACTATTTTATCTTCTACTGAGAAACATTAATCTACTCTTTCAAAATCCTTTGGATAAAAAAAGGTAACAAACCCCAGCAGTATTAAAAGATAAACAAAGCCTTAAAGGTAAGGTTATTACAGTGTGATTACAACTGCAATCCTTCCCGATGTTTTTATGCATCCAGATTTTGTAAATAAATGTTCTGTCTTGACTGCTCTTGTGTCAAAGTGATTTTTCATTTAATGGTCTACTGAAAACTTAAGACAACAAACATTTTAGACATAATAGACACACTGAAATCTTTTTCATCCCTGAGGACTTAACTTGTTCCTCCACCTCTCTCTCTCCTCTTTTCTCCCCTTACAAAGAAGCAAGAATTTTATTCAAGACAACAGCAATGTTCAACATGAACACTGAAATAAGAGATATCCTCATTCAGCATATTAATTACCTGAATGATTTCCAGTACGGGATTCTATATTATATCTACCAATATTGAAAGAGTAAGTTGCAGCCATGAGTGTTACCACCAATGCAAAACTGTGACCGGGATACCCCATACACCCTCTCAGGCTCTGCGTCCCTGACAACTGCTAGGTTGCTATTATCCTGCAATAAAATACCTTTTCCACTATTCTGAAGTTTCAGAAACTTAGCTTATGAACATGCTATGAAACTAGCTTCTGCATGAGCTACAGATGGTACTCGGAGCCTCGAAGGGCTTCAGGCACAGGTATGTATTTGTTCTGTGCCCTCCACAATGTCACGCTGAGGCATGCGGCCCCAGAAAGCTGAGCTCTGCAGACACGCGACACAGAGACAGCTACTGTTCACAGCTCATGCAACAAGAGAACCTTTCCAAAATAGCGTTCCTCAAAGATCAGGAAAATGGCCTCACATTCTTTCTATCCTGGTGAGTCTGATAATAAACTAGTTTCCTAACACAATACAAGTAACTAGTAGCAAATCTTGACGCCAACAAACACTGCACATTCATAGCACAGGCCTTGACTGTACTGGCCCAAGGTAGTGAAGACTGTGACAAGGAATTTCCGAAATGGGTGTTAATGGTGTCTACCTGCAGAAAAACAGAGCAGCCTCCCAGGTAAGGCTAGATACATACCAGGCAAAGTCTGATCTCTGAATAAGGGAAGTCCAAGATGCCCAGCTCTTTGAAGTATTTGTGTAAAGAGAGAAACACCACTGAAACCTTTCTTCCAGTATTCTCCCTAAGACCTTCCCAACACAGCCAGTCTCCTGACACTTCTGATGCTATTTTGCACAGCCTTATCAGTAATCTTCTAACATTTGGTATTTTACCTTAAGCCTCAGTTGATGAAGACGAGTGACTACATGAAGATTTGAGCTGTCTTCTGAAAAGGAGAATGTTTCTTCATCTCATGACTCTAGTGCTATGAATGTTTCTTAAAGAGAAAAAAAAAAAAGAAAAAAATCAGTTTAAGTTAGAATTGCTGCTGCATTAGAAAAATGAAGCAGCAGCGTACACTTCTTTAGGGACCAGGAGTTAGAAACTCTGCCATACAGGAGCAAAAAGCTGAGGTCCTAGCACCTGCTTTGAGAAGCGAAACAAAAATCGAACAGCATGAAGCAGAGGAGCTGAAACAGTAGTTCCCAAATCAAAAGCTATTCTCTTCTGAGAACAGGAAACGGCTTGAGGATGTGCTATCAATTTTGGTGAGCACTGGTGAAAAAAGAGACCTGGTGATACCGTATCTGGCATCACAATCCCAAAAATTTCCCAAACCAGCCTCCCTTGTATGCAGAAGAGACAGCAGAAGGGGTAGGCACAAGAGACCTCACCTGGAACACTAATGAGAACTTGGCACTCTGAGGCTGTGTTCACAGCTGAAGCAGACAAGAAGTCCTTCTTTATCAAAGAAACTTTACAGCAGGATCTTGTGAATGGCACTTTCCTTCCTCGCTTGTGTAACAGAGCCTGAAAGGAGGCAGTGTTAAAAAACAATCGTAGCCTTCGTTTGCCTAATTTGAAAATGTCCCTGGCTCCTTTTAAGTAGAGAAATGCTAGAGTTTGATTAATGCCAAGTAGTTTGGCTATTTTTACAAGAAATCTGAAGATTAGCGTGCTAGAGTATAAAATGTTCTAAATCGAAGCTAAAATTCAAATTATGTGTATTGGGGTTGTAACCATTCTGAATGGAGATACTTACCTGTATGTACTTCTCCATTTCAAGACTTCAGCCCACCCTATTTTGTAGAAAATATTCCTTAATTCTTTGTATTAATTTCTTAGTGAAAAGTGTTCCCAAAATGCCAAGTTAAAAACTCAAATACAGCAATCAAAATACTGTCATTTCTAGCACGCTGGAACTTTTGGCAGTAAGGAATGATGTAATTTACTGACACTGCCAGAGTTATAATGCATTTCAACATCCTTCCTCTGTGTGTATTGTCAATCTTTTCAAAGACCTATCTCACACATATATATTTAATTACTAAAAGCTAGAAAACGTTTACTCGTAAAAGAATAGTTTTCCTCAGGCAAATGTAAACTGAAACTTACCTTTGTCATCAGAGATGCTTCATCACCAGAAGTCCTTGCTGTATCTTTTAACAAAAAAAAATAATTTTACAAATCATTAGTTAAAGATACAGTGATGAAGATTTTCTTACTCTGTAGGTACGGAAAGCTGTTCTCTTTCTTTTCCTCTACATGTGACAAAGAAAAGATACCGCCTGTCTGTGTAACATTAGGGCTATTTAGATAAAGCCAGGAGGGTTATTTTGTAAACTCTTGTAGCTGCACAAGTATAATTCTCCTCCTCTGCAGACAGCAGCATAACCCCGATGTCCCCACAACAGACAGATGTAGAATGTTGTGTTGGTCAACTACTAGCAGTGTAAATCCTCCATTACGCTGATACAGCTTCCTTATGCTGGAAGATAATTATAGGTTTGACAGAACTAGATCAGAAACTGTTTGTACAGCTACCTGTTATAGTAACTTTCACATCACAAATCATTTCGTATCACGCTACACTGCGGATCCCTTTCCATCAGGCACACTTCATGTCACCACAGATTAAATGCCGGCATTAAGAAGTGAACAGTCATTCTGATGGTGTATCAGTACTGTTGTACAGAGCAATAAATGAAAAACACATTACTGAGTAACATGGCAGAAAGAACTTCCTCAGAGACAAAATATAACAAATAGGGCTGGAATTTGCCTGGGACACCTTGTTAATAGCCTCATCTAATCATCATATCCAAGTACCATTCCAAAGAAGTTCAAAGGAGTGCAAGAAATTGAACACCAATACTGTGCCCTATATAATCTGCTGCTTGGAAATAGCTTTAGTGAAAAATAGATCCAGTTATATTTTAAGTTACAGACTAAGAGGATTGGATTGTAAAAATGTAAGACATGATTTCTCCTTTTAAAAAAAAAAAAAAAAAATCTGTGACAGTTTTCTAATAGACCCGTTAAAAATAAACTTAAAATATGACTAAGAATTCTGCAGGACTTCCAAGGAAAAAAGAAACAGCGGAGAACATGAGAACAGAGCACATATGCATATATGCATTTTTATCACCGGTGTACAGATTTGAGGAAGTAGCAGCTCAGAAAGGAAGATCATGATCTGGAGACAACATTCCAACTGGAATCAGTAAGCACAATACCACTGAATCACTCAAGTGCAAGGTTGAAACAAGTGACAGGTTAAAACAAGAAGACACCTGATCACCAGGAGACCACTTGCATTCAAGAGAAATGTCCGTGCCCTGTACGAAATATATGAAAAATAGCAATAGTTAAGTGCTGCATATGTAATTAAAAGATACAGTGAACATGTAGAAAGTAATGCAGAATTGAAGATAGATAGATTCAAAAGGTACTCCTCTGCCAATGTACTTACCCTGGAACATCAGATGCATCGTTATATCAAATTAAGTCAACTTTTGGATAAGAACCTAGACTGTGTACTCCTTTCTAACTACTGAAGGACTGGAACAACAGCTTATTTTTTTTGCAAGACAACAGAATTACAGGAAATTGATTCCAAGAAAAATTACACAAGAAGTAAAGCATAGCCTTAGGCGGAGGGGGTGTGTATTTGTATGTTACACCCTTTGCTTAAACTTTTTTAATGGTCTTAAGAATAATTTCAGTTTCAGAGCTGAACACTGAAACTTAACCTTTGCTGCTGAAAGATACACATTTAATCCTTAGACAGACAGTATTATCTTCACATATTGAGTCCAACATCATGGGTAGTCAAAGAATATGTTTAATAAAAAATAATTAAACTTCCATTTGCTCTATAGAACATCATAGAAAGTAATTCAATAAATTACAAATGACTTTTTAAGACGCTTGTTCAACTACAGAAAGCAAATTCGGACTACACAGAACACAACTGGCAAATATTGCAAATGTCCAAAAAAGAAAATGGACTAAGACTTGGATCATGAAGCTTGAAACAAGGGATAAAAATACAAGGCAATAACAGCTAAGGTTCTTTTAGTAACTACCAACACACACTTTATCATCACCTTGGATATCCTTTTAACTTCAGTATTAGTGTAATTCTACTGAGGTTTCCTTATAACCCTTAACTTTATACAACTGTATTTGCATATAGTTTAGCTGATAGTGGGACATTTTTTCCCCTTCTGGTTCAAACTGATTAAAAATAAACCCAATATATTATGTTCAAGTCTACACCAGCCTTCATTACTTCAAACTGTAATTGCCTTATTACATAGAAAGTATCACTAGAATGGTAACCAAACTCACTTGACCATAATTAGGAAAATACTTTATTTCATAAATCTGATATAAATTAGGTTTTAGCCACAAGATTTAGGATCTATTTTGTGGGGTAAGAGTGGGAAGCGATGGTATTGTTGACACACTCCATCAGCAAACTAAGTTAATAACTGTTTGTAAAACTTTGGCTATTTCATAGATGCATCCTAGTTAAATAAAAGTGCTATATTACAAAGGGCAAAATATGAAATATTAAATACTTTTTTTTCCATGATGAATTGCTACCCCCTTCTCTTGGCAGCTTTTAATTTTCACTATTGCTAAGACACTGCATGAAGGGCCAAAAATCAGAATACTATTTGGGAAAATACATAACCAACACAATCCAAATGGTATTTGTATAATTGTGTAATTACATGTAATACTGCTTCTAATCATGGGGCTAGTCATTTTGCACATAGAAACTTATATTTCATTGGTAAAGTTCTTGATAAAAAACAACACAGTTGTTTTACTGTACAAGCAAGCAACAGAACTATATCAAAATATACAGTTTTTGTTTCTTATTTTTAAATTTATCCCTTTGTAAAGCTTTTTCAGTGACTTCTACGAGTACCTGTATCTATTTTCTCTTAACACTTGTGTATTCTTGGACCACAAACGAAGTAACCAAAATTAACTGCAGTCTCAGTCAGTTCAGAACTTCTCTAAGTGTGAATCTGGGCTTCGACTGTGTCAGCAGCTTACGAAGAAGGAGGAATCATATCACACATCAAATATTAGACAGATTTTATATAGTAAAGGGTTCTAAGGATTTGGACTTAAACAGATGCCTTATGCCTTGTTATTGTGGTTTCAAGGAATAATTTGTCTTTCTTACTATTCAAAGTGCTTTTTCTTTAGTGGGTAACTCAGCATAATATATGAAGTGATATCCCAATAACGATTTCAGGTAATATTTATTCAGACTTAAATCTGCAGAGAAGTTTTAACTCAAAAGGAGTTCAAAACTATCTATACTTTATTTACCATTATTAACTGGTAACTCCAGGAGGTTTTATGACATAAAACACAAATAGAAATCTACACAAACAAAGCAAACAAACAATTTTTACATGAAGTATGCAGTGTTGAAAGGTCTTTTCAGTGGCACTTAAAGACAGATTGCCTCTTCTGAGTCTTGGGGAAACTACTCCTCATTTTGGGACTTTTAATTCTGCAGAGGGAGCCCAAAACTTTGCAAGGTGTAAACTAAATAGATCTATATGGTGCCAAGTAGCATGAGATAAGACAGTTTTTGCTTTAATTTCCCCTTACTGCTGTCAAAGAGAACAGCTGTAATAAGGGGGAAAAAACCCCAACAGTCATATCTCAGATAACTCAGATTTTAACATGATATACAGGATGTCTTTAGAAAACAAAACAAAACCTGAAAACAAGTAATAGAAACCAATGTAAACTTCCTAAACTAACTCAGCTGAGGTAACAGGTAGCCAGTTTAATTGGCTGATTGGGAAAAATTTATCTTCTTTTAAACACACTTGTACCTGAATTGGAAACAGCAGTGCATCACAACACTAGAGCATTTTCATGTAATTAAAGCAATGGATGGTGATGTAGATTCTACAGCTTTCATGACATTCATTAGCTGCCCAAATTATTGCTGAGTTTTGATCTGTAAATTATAAGTGTCAAGGAGGCTGTAAAACTATATTCAAATTAAATCAATAATATGCATAAAGTATTCTGTGTTCACTGCAAATATATTAAATATACAGCTCTTACTTGAGCATTATTTTCATAAAATTAACCCCCCAACAAAATTATAATGCCTTTTGTTGTAATTTTACACCATTGTGTATTTGATAGTACATACAAGTTCAGAAACTTATGAACTTCAAGAAATATTACATGCAAAACGTCTCTGAAAGCAGTTTGCACTTCTAAACAAATACTGAAATGTTCGGTCAGTAAATCATTGATGCACTCAACACTGGGTTATTTACAATGAAATAATTAAAGAATAAATTCAAAATCAGTTTATAATTTAAGTGCAGAGTCTGGGGTCAGTCTTCATCGCTAGAATCTGAATCCTCAGATGAAGACGATGTACTATCAGATCCAGATGAAGCATCTGCTTTTTCTGAACCCTCATCTGTGCTGTTTTCATTGTGAGAGCTTGGCTCTGCTCCCCCTTTGTCTTCCTGATCTCTAACCCTAGAATTTTCTTCCTTTTCTTCTGTGGGCTTGGCTGAGCCCGTGTCATTGCTTTCACTGTTCTGTACATCAAAAATATTAGACTGAGACAAAGCTGGGATATGAAGATTAAGGCCTGGAGTGAGAAGCATCCCTGGGTAAAGTATGTTGGACAAAAGTAATGGGTTAAGAGAGAGAGGATTGGCAGCTGCAGCAGCAGAGGATGTCGAAGGAGAACTTGAAACAGAGTTTTCACCACCAGTATCTGTATTTTGGTCTTCTGTCCTTTCTTTCTTTATATCTGCCTCCTTTGAATCGCTTCCCTTTTTTTCCTCTGAAACAGATTCTGTAGACTTTGTTAGAAGTCCTCCCATGCCCAGCAAGTTTGGTAATCCAGCCATCCCTGACAGCAGCATGGGGAACATAGCAGCCATGTTCTTCGCTTCTCCTCCGGTAGTTAAGCCAGCTGGCATACCCATTAATCCTGCGGTTACTTGCAGCGACTGCAGGTTTTGCAGGTTTTGTTGTAAGGCCTGAAGACTAGGCAGATCCACTCCTGGAAGCAGTCCGTTCGCTAGCAGAGGGTTAACCGACACACTTGCAGCCGTGGCAGCTGCTGCAGCTGCTGTTGCTTTAGCAATCTCACTTTTGGGGCGCCTTCCTCTCCGGCTTACTTCTTCCCGCACAACAGGTCCAGTGAGAATACGGTCAAACATGCCTTCTGGAAGAAATCCCTGCAGAGAGACATTGGATATTTTTAGTATTTGAGAGCCTAAAGATGGGAAGGTAAAAGCAAACAAAAGGCCCAAGCATGCAGGAACAGTGTCAAAGATTATTCTGGTATGTTCGCACAGCAGCCTGATCTCCAGACAACTCACTGGAATGTGTGGTGACTCCGTAATACTGCATCTCAGACATCTGAAGGCCCATTTCCAGAGCCATGTCTACACTGGCATCTTCTCAGACCCTCTGCTAACTCATCCTTAGAGGTTTGTTTGCAGATCAAGCCAAATACAGCTAATTATAGGAGTAATCTCAATTTACGATCTAAAACAGGACTGCTTTGCAGTATTACCATATTTCAATCATCTGACAGTTTAATTAAAAAAATTACTCAAGTTAAACATAAATGTGTGATTGCACACAGACCAACAATCTCCAAACCCTTTTCATTATTGCTAGTGTCTGTTTAACATCATCACATTTCACCTCATCCATAAACCTAAGAATAAACAGTCAAGACTCAAGTTCAATTAAAATGAAATTCAGAGCACTCCCTTTTAGGGCTTGCACAGTATTACTTCACCTCTATCAGCTCTCCTACCTAACAATGAAGAAAGAACTGCAATAGACACTAATATTATTTGCTTTGAAACGCACTGTCTTGACAGCTCCTCTTAAAACGGCAATCGCAAGATCAAATATTACTCACCTCTACACTGCAATAGCCGTTTTTTTTTCCCCAGCAAATATCTCTAATTTAAACTAGCCTAATACAACCTCAGAGGAATTCAGAAATCATGTTCTGTTCTTCTGTCCTGTGGATCACTACTAAATTCTAGAAGCAATTCTGCTATGATTTACACCTTTATTCACTGCAGTCTAATCCTGTTCCTAGTTACCTATTTTTCTACCACAATGTCCCACAAGGGTACTGGAGGGACTGGCACTTAGAACTTCAGAGAAAGATTATATGCTGATAGTGAACCAGAAAAAAAAAAAAAAATTTGCCATTTCTTTGCCAGAGCCTGAAGGTATAGTGTAAATATACCATATTTTGGACAAGTTATAGTGGGTGAGAAAATAAGACTCCACAAGAATACTGACAAAGCTGTCTTCACTTCTGCTAGACACGTGGAATGGAAGAGTAAGTGGGTTACCCAAAAAACATTCTTTATTATGCAATGCAAGTTATTGAAGTTCAAAATATGTCATTATCTTCAAGGCAAACAGGGAATGATAACTCAGAACCATGCGCCGTACTCAAACCAGTGACACTTACAAGGAAAGAGAGACCGGCTATATAATGGTTCTCCTAATGAAAATACGTACCTGCTCTTTTGTTGGAACTGTGTCTATCAAAAAACTTTTTTCTTTTAAATTTAATGAAGTACAAACTTCAAACCTCAAAGAATGCATCTTGCTACTAAGCAAGCAGCTGGCTCAGGACTACCAGGAAACGCAGTACTCTAATCACTAACTCTGTTGGCAATCCGTACAGAAGGAGTACATGGGCAACACTGAAGCTGCAGTGCAGACCTACTCCTCAAAATATATTAATACATGAACCTCATGCCCTCCACTGGAATCTCAACACTATTTAGCTGAAAACAAAACTTCTAAAACATAGAAATTCTAAGTAGCAGAAAATAGCTATATTAATACTTAATTTACATTTTGATTTGAGGATAGTAATTTCTTCAAGGTGCATACTGAAAGCAAATGAATTAAAAGATAAAATAAATATTTAAAATTGTATTTGTCTTCCTAGCTGTAAGAATAAGAAAGTATTCTGTGGGCTAATACCTTTCTAAAAACCTTCACGGCTACATTTATGAGATGAAAAAGTCACAGTATTATAGCACTTTTAACCAAATCTCTAATTTAGGGTTGCCAGCCACTGTGCCTCCCTCCCTCCTACTCACAGCTGTGCCAGCAAACCAGTTTAAGGAACTGAGCTGGCAGAAAAAAAAGCCAACATTGACTCACATTTTGCACTTAGTATAATACCTGAAATTAAAAGTATGCCTTTTTTTCCCCGTTTGCCTTTGTTGTTTTTAAGATACATTTCATGTCATGGTTATTCTGCAAATACTCACAGACTGTTTCACAACTTCTCCCCATTCAGGAGCCACTCCATACTCTGGATTTTCTTTCAAGAATCTGCACAAATCCTTCAGAGGGGGAGCAAACGCACCCCCTACCTGAGAAGCAAAAGACAGAAGTCAGGAAATACTTCTAATTCAACAAGAAAAAGGCAACTTTCATACCTGACACTGTTTCATTTTTGTCTTTTATATAAAATAATACAAGTAAAGTCTGACTTTAAATTATCAATGAGTATGGTATTGCTTTTGACTGATTCCTGGTGGTGTATGAGAGATACTCCTGATTTGTTGTAAATCTACTAACTCAGGCTCATCTGTTAAACTCATATTGTGCAACTTCAGTATTTGACATTCCTACTCTGTTTAAAATCAGTTTATTAAGACATGCAATAAAGGGTGGGTGTCAGGAGGATGGGGCCAAGCTCTTTTCAGTGGTGCCCAGTGACAGGACAAGGGGCAATGGGCACAAACTGAGGCACAGGAAGTTCCGTCTGAACATGAGGAGGAACTTCTTCCCTCTGAGGGTGACGGAGCACTGGAACAGGCTGCCCAGGGAGGTTGTGGAGTCTCCTTCTCTGGAGATATTCAAGACCCGCCTGGAAGGGGTCCTGTGCGGCCTGCTGTAGGTGACCCTGCTTCGGCAGGGGGGTTGGACTAGATGACCCACAGAGGTCCCTTCCAACCCCTACCATTCTGTGATTCTGTGAATGGAAGAGCAACCACATGAACAGAGAACAACTGTGGTCCAAATATTTAACAAGAAGGTTGTAACAACAATGTTGTTGAACGTTTCCTTTACCACTAAATCAGTCCTATTTTATAATCTCAGTCACCTTCTAAAAAGACTTCTATTAAGAGGATCTGCTTCTCTTGTGAAATTATTTCTTGTACTTTTTTCATGCAAAAGAGGCCAAGATTGCTAATAAAGATGTCCTAATAAAATCACACAAGCAGGAAAGTAAGCTTTCAAATTGATCAGTAGTAGTATTCAGATCCAGGCAGAAAGAAGAAATGGTAGAAAGAAGGAAGGAAAAAGAATTCAATTTCCTGCTCAACCTTCTCTATAAACTGCAACTTAAAACTCTTACTTTCTAGGCTACCTTTGGTCACCTCGCCCTCTGCGACTACACATACAATTGAATAAACAATGAGACAAAACGAGCTTGGTGATGCAGAGAAGTTGGGGACAGGTTGTAAGAGGGAAAACTGAGGTTAGCAAAGTAACAGAACAGAGTCTCAACTATGGTGTGGAAATTTATTAGAGGAAAAAAGTCACCATGAAAACACAGGCTTTTACAGCAAGCACAGATCAATTCTCTCACTCCTTGATCATCAATTTTGAAAAGATTCCTCAGGGCAGGGTTTACTGTAGAGTAGCCAAGGATCTGTTTTTCAAGAGACCAGCAACCATATAGGTTCCTCTTTAAGTGCTGCTGTCTCAAAGCACTGAAGAGATTAAAGACTCAAATTCTGCCTCATGCTCCTCTACAGATGCAAAAAGCTTCCGACCTCAATACAGCGGTATAAAAAATTTCCTGCTTTCCCTGCAACTGCTCTCTAACAAAACAAAAAGCTAGCAGTATCACAACAGAAAACGCTCCGTACACTGATGCAATGCCTCAAAGACTCCCACTGGACTGCTGCTCTGGTACTACGCTGACATTCACAGACACCATCCCACACGCTTGTCTAAATTTGTTCAATACGCAACAGTAATGTTCTGCACGCTTTTCTCACATATTGCCTTTAGCCTTCCCCAAAGCCTATGCAAACGCATTACGCCTTTCCCAGACTTTCATCACCCATCCCAAAACTTGAATTCAACACTTGGTCTCCCATCTTCCACTGCTGGGATTTTATACAAGAATCCCCCCCTTCTACTTTTGCTCGCCTGCTACACAACTGTTTAACCTAGCAATATGATTTACAACAGATACGTACTGGTGAGCTATAAAGGTCAAATGCCAGAGATAAACAAAAAAAGAAAAAAGCCAAATAATCCAGTACACAGGATTTAAACAATTCCAATGGACAAGTTTCTACGCAGGATGCACTACCAATATAATTTTCATCATGTCAAAAGTAATAATGAAAAGATGTACACAAAATGTAGAAAATGTACAGACATTGCTACTTTGATCAGAACAATATGTATCTCAGTGGTCATGGCTCTGTATTAGTAGCACAAATATCGCAATATAGTGTTCAACTCTGTGTGCACATAAAGCACAGGGTAAGTTTCTAGCCATATCTTACATATTGTTATAGTTGCAAAACATTTACTAGAAGATTATCATTGACTTTCTTGCTCTGTTACAAAACTTTGAACCAAAAACTATTCATTTGTACACAGTATTTTAACAAGTGTAATATTCGAGTTCTTCCTTTCAGGTATCTTCATGTGGGGCCCATCGGAATGGAAACAGCAATGAGAATACCTTTCTTGCATTTCTTCTATTTATGAGCTGAACACGTTCTTCACCAGTCAAACTATTAACGTCCAGTTTATTAGGGTTTCGACAACGGTGTCTTTTTTGTTTGGGCCTCCCATCGTGCAGCTGCATCCTCTGTTACAAAGGAATTAAAAAAGCCAATTATCTTTCTGATGTAACAGTTTTAAAAAAGGTAAGATATCTGTCCATTCTCTTGAGTCGGCCATTCATTTGAAGTCATCCTCCATTTCAGAAATATTTTTGTAGCAAAACTACTTCACTAATCACAATCATATAGTAAGCAGCCCAGCAGACAACACTAAATCCTCTCTCTGATGCCTCTACCCATTGCTGTAATAATTTTTCAGTTTCCAACAGTGTTTTAACTGTCAGGAATGTTGGTACTATTTTCTACAGTACCATTGCTATGGAGAAATAAGGTTGTTATTCCAGATGTCATAAATACAATTTGCTTACATTCTGTTCAACAGAAACGAATCTCAAATTCAGAGGTAAAATGAGATCAGACCCACACAAACATGACTGCCATAGCACTGTAATGTAGCTATGAGAGACATTCCACAGTGAAGTCTTTGATCCTCTTGCACATAACTAAATATGCTGTTACACATTTTCAGCTCCCACCACCAGTATGATGCTATTGTGAGTTATCTTATCTTAGATTTTTTTAATCCTAGGTGAAATGAGTAAGAAATACAGCAAAGGAGGCAGGAGACCTGCATGGATGAGCAAGGAGCTTCTAGCAAAACTCAAATGGACGAGAAAGGTATACAGAACGCGGAAATAGGGTCAAAGCCACTTCGGAGGGAGACAGGAACCTTGTCAGAGCATGAAGGGAAGCAATGAGGAAGGCTAATTTCCACATGGAATTATATCTGGCAAGGGATGTCAAAGACTACACGAAGGGCTTCAAGTACATCAGTAGCAAACAGAAGACTAGGGACAGTGTGGGGCTGCTGCTGAATGAGGTGGGTGCCCTGGTGACACACAGACGGCGAGTTACTGAAAGCCTTCTTTGCTTCAGTCTTTACTGCTAAGGCTGGCCCTCAGGCATCCCAGTCCCTGCAGATAAGAGAAAAAGCCTGGAGAGAGGAAGACCTTCCCTTGGTCGAGGAGGAAGGGGTTAGAGATCATTCAAGCAAACTGGAAACCCACAAATCCACAGGCCTCCATGGGAGGTACCCATGAGCACGGAGGGAGCTGGAAGATGTCACTGCTGAGCCACTCTCCATCATCTTTGAAAGATCCTGAAGGACAGAAGTGCCTGAGGACTGCAGGAAAGACAATGTCACTCCAATCTTCAAAAAGCACACGGAGGACCCAGAGAACTATAGGCTGGTCAGCCTCACCTCCATCCCTGGAAAGGTGATGGAGCAGCTCATTCTGGATGTCATCTCTAAGCAAGTGGAGGAAAAGAAGGTTATTAGGAGTAGTCAACACAGATTCACCAAGGGGAAATCATGCTTGACCAAGCTGATAGCCTTCCATGATGGCATAACTGGCTGGGTAGATGAGAGGAGAGCAGTGGATGTTGTCTACCCCGATTTCCGCAAGACTTTTTGACACAGTCTCCCATAACATCCTCCTAGGGAAGCTCAGGAAGTGTGGGCTAGATGAATGGATGGTGAGGTGGATTGAGAACTGGCTGAATGGCATAACTCAGACGGTTGTCATCAGTGGCACAGAGTCTAGTGGGAGGCCTGGAGCTCGTGGTGTTCCCTGAGGTCAGCATTCAGCCCAGTCTTGTTCAACTTACTCATCAGTGACCTGGATGAAGGGACAGAACGTGCCCTTCAGAAAGTTTGCTGATGACCCAAAACTGGGATGAGTGCTAGATACACCACAAGGCTGTGCTGCCATGCAGCGAGACCTGGACAGGCTAGAGATTTGGGCAGAGAGGAACCTCATGAAGTTCAACAAGGGCAAGTGCAGGGTCCTGCACCTGGGGAGGAATAGCCCCATGCACCAGGCCAGGCTGGGGCTGCCCTGCTGGAGAGCAGCTCTGTGGAGAGGGACCTGGGAGTGCTGGGGGATGACAAACTCGCCATGAGCCAGCAGTGTGCCCTGGCTGCCAAGATAGCCAATGGTCTCCTGGAGTGCATTAAGAAGAGTGTGGCCAGCAGGTCAAGGGAGGTTCTCCTTCCCCTCTACACTGCCCTAGTGAGACCGCATCTGGAGTACTGCATCCACTTCTGGGCTCCCCACTTCAAGAAAGATGAGGAACTGCTGGAAAGAGTCCAGCGGAGGGCTACGAGGATGATTAGAGGACTGGAGCATCTCTCCTACGAGGAAAGGCTGAGGGAGCTGGGCTTGTTAAGCCTGAAGAAGAGAAGGCTGAGAGGGGACCTTAGAAATGCTTATAAATAACTTAAGGGTGGGTGTCAAGAGCATGGGGCCAGACTCTTCTCAGTGGTGCACAGCGACAACGGCCAATGGGCACAAACTGAAGCACAGGAAGTTCCATCAGAACATGAGGAAGAACTTCGTTACTTTCAAGGTGACGGAGCATTGGAACAGGCTGCACAGAGAGGTTGTGGAGTCTCCTCCTCTGGAGATATTCAAACCCCGCCTGGACGGGGTCCTGTGCAGCCTGCTCTGAGTGACTCTGCTTTGGCAGGGGGATTGGACTAAATGACCCACATTGGTCCCTTCCAACCCCTACCATTCTGTGATTCTGTGAAGTCAGACAAAGATCAAATGTCTTTATTCAGTACTGCTTTTCGTGGCAATTATGTTTGTGAGGAAAAAGGAAGACTTGTGGAGCTCAAGTTAGATAAAATTAAAGAGATATTTTCCTTTTCCTAAACAAAATAGAACAAAGAAAGAATAATTCCATGTACCATAGACTACAAATACATCTTCTGAGAAATGTTTTATTAGTTAGCTAAAATAGAGCTGAAGGAATACTCACAGGAATACAAGCTCCTGAATCTTCAACATATCCAGGATGTTCTTTAAGCCACCTTTCTAAATCTTTTCTTTTGGGGGCATCATCACCTGCAAGCCTTGTTCCATCTTTCAGGTTAATAACAGGAACTGGACTCTCTGCATCAAGCATGCCTTGGGACTGCGTGTAAGTGAGTACTGGGTTTATTCCTGCAGCGACTTGACAGGAGTTAATACCTTGATTAACCTGGAGAAATTAAAAACAGTGGACTAAGTTTTCCACAGAAAATAAACCATCACAATTATTTCATGTATGATACAATGAAGGCCACAGTCCTGCAAATCACAAATTCTCTCAAGGACTCAGTGAAATTACTTATGCCATAAAGACAGCTCCCTGTAAGTCAGGGTACAATCAGGTCCTGAAACAGATGTTACAGGAAAGGATGTCAGAAAGTGTTGCTAGGTTAAATATTAAGTTTTTAATAACAATGTTGTTAATTACAGTTCACCAAAATTAGAATTAAACTTATTTTCAAAAAACAGTTATCTACATGGAATATATCTAATACTTAGTAAAACCCTACCAGTTCTTTTTTGTGTAGTCACAAACTGCTAGTGAACAACTTCAGAAAAAAACCAAAACTAACAGTTTTGAGTAATAAAATGTTGACAGTTGGTTATGCTCAGTCAAGGGATTAACAGTAATTCGGACCTTAGTTTTGGATATAAAAAAAATCAAGTTTACTTACATGGTTAGGCTGTTTATTTCTATTTATAAAGAGGACATCAACTCCCTCCACATTCTTCCTTCTTCCTCTTCTCTTCTTTACTACAGGCTGGCTGTCAGCTATGACTCCATTGGCACCGGCTGTTAAGTGACTGGAAGTACCTAATTAATGATGCAATAGAATTAGTGTCAGATGCTTGAGAACTTTATAGCAGGAAACATGCTTGATTTAAAAAAAGAAATAAAATTACTCGAAATAGTGCAAGTGCACATAATTTCTACATGCAATATCTAACAAAAATTGATTACTGTTTTATGACTGTTTAAAACACTATTAATATCAGGCTCTGAATAGCCACTCTGCTAGGGAAGTTTACTATTACTGCCCCCTGCCCTCTCCAAATAAATCTGTACAGGCAGGGGAGCTGTTAAAAACTGCTGACATCACACACACACAGAGGCAGACATCCCTAAATAAATGTTTATAACAAGATCTTAATGCTATGTTGCAAAAAAAACAGAAAGTGCAAAATGCAAGCGCATGGTAGTACTTTTTTTTTTTTTTAAGGAAATGTTCTCATCCACGTATGTATGCAATCTTGATGAACTGCAGTAATTTAATCAGAAGCTGGCCTAAATCAAGCACTCAATTCTAATAATTGCAAGTATTTTAATCCAAATTTTAACTGCTTACTTTAGGCTCATTTTTACTTGTCAATGTACATCTACTGTTATTTTTTATGAAAACAAGCTGTAAGTTTTTGACTGTAAGCCAGAAACGGGTTCTAGACTATCGTCTTCCACTGTTTCTTTACACGAGACACAGGAAAGAATATGAAGAGTGCAAACTGACACAGGCATAAATCTGTAACTCTTCATCTTTACTTGCATACTAGCCACAGTAAGTTTTGATTTAAACTGATTACTGTCAGTGCAGAGTGATGCACTTTAATATCATTATAATCACCTTCTTGTGGGGATGTTTATAACATATAATGGCATCCTTCTAATAAATGAACGTTACAGTAACCGACACTGTCAGAAAGTATTCATGTGGTCCAACTCATGCCTCAGTTTAGGTGCCCAGTTTCGCTAACACACTGGAGAGAATTCCTCCAGACTGCAGTTTAGAACCAGTAACATAGCAAACATCTCTCTCCGCTGCCTATACATGGAGATCGACACAGGATTTAATGCTAACCCTTATGCCCTCTGACATTTTATTTACCTGATTCAGGAAGTGATTTGGGGAAGTTGACAAGGCTGGTTTCTGAAGCATTCTGGAGTTCATGTAGCCGAGCCAGGTATTGCTGCTGTCCCAATGTACCTTCCTCGCTTTCAAATGGCCTTTTCTGAGACAGTCCCTGCTTCTGAAAAGTCAATTTCAAACCACCTTCCTGTTAAATAAATGTCAGGGTTAGAAGAGCCTCTTCCAAAGCAGAAATGACTACTTCATAATCAGGCTTCTCACATACAAACAGTTACTCCAGAAGACTTGAGAAAGAACGAAAATTTTGTATTAGACCTTGAAACAAGTCTTGCTTCTCCATGTAAAAAAAGAAAAATCTGAACAGAAATTTCATGGAATTCCTTCTATGAATATAAATTTTAAACTACCGACTATCTTAACTGAAAAATCCAGACACCGAACAGCTGTCTACAACCCCCTAATCCAGTCCTAAAGAAATGTTAAACCCAATTACAAGAGAAGTTTTTCATACATTTTTATGTGCTACGAACAGGTCTCAAACTACAGATAAGAAAAGTGTTTGAACCTTCTAGCCTGCATCTAAACTGGGAAATTTATCTACAACCTTCTAGCAGGCCATGAAATAACAAAATGTTTGCTGGATAGGACATGCCGAAGTGTTTAAAAAAAGCCAAAGAACAGAAAAATATTTTTTTACTAACCAGATTTCTTAGAAACCGTATAAAACGAGCTGTCTGAGGAAGCACCAGAATGGCAAAATTTCAATTCAGAGAGAGATATAATAATTATTCCTTCCAGTGGCTGATGCAAAATAAAAAGAAACCAAACCAAAAATCCCAACCAAGAAACCTCCCCCAAAAAATCAAACCCCAAAACCAAGACTGAAAGCCCAGAAGCAGCAGACCCAAATACCCACAAACAAGTGTGTGAAGGAAGTGAGAGTGAGAGCAGGCAGCCACTTGCAGGTAAAGCATGCCGCACACCGCAATCGCAATCAGGTCCTAGGGCAATAAAAATAAACATACGTCATTGATTTTCACTGTAAACTCCTTTTCTCGTACATGCTTCTTCACCTTTGACATCTGTGGCGACTGATCATACTCTTCTTTAACACCTGCAAGAGGGGGTGTTGGTGCACTGGGCTCACTGTAATCTGCAGCTGCACCTGGGCTATCCAGAAGTTTGGTTGTGTAGAAAGATGCCACCGTATTGCTGTCATAGCTCTTTCTTGCCGAAGGCCATTTACCTTTCAACACCGTTTGACAAATACTGTCAAGTCGATTAATCATAACTCGATCCTACAAAAAAGAGAAAACATTTTTGTAAGACTAATGCTTACCAATACTGTACACATTACATTTATGTATTAGCTTCTCATTCTAAAAAGTAGAGAATGACAACATTTGTAATCACTGGACTTGGACTTAAAAGACTTCTGAGTTCCTGGATTTGTGCCGATTCCCTGTACAAGTCTCTGAATCACAGAATTGTAGGGGTTGGAAGGGACCTCTGTGGGTCATCTAGTCCAACCCTCCTGCCGAAGCAGGGTCACCTATAGCAGGCTGCACAGGAAAAGCCACCTCTGTACTTAATTTTACCACCTGTAAGCAAACACACATCCTCTCTGATCTATACAGGGTCTAGGGCCTGTAAATGCTTGAAACACATTACATCACCGATTCTTAAAGCAAAGAGCTGGTAACTGCCAAAGTAGTATTTGTAGGTCTGGCTTTGACTTACTGATAGCAGGGGCTGAACCTGTGAGCAGCACCATAACGTCTGTGGCTAACAGCATTTATAAATCAAAATCTACAGACTTACTCACATCTCATTGTAACTTTTGAAACCATATTATTCCTTATTTACATTCTTCAGACACCAGACATATTAGACTTCACACACAGCTACATAATACATAGATATCGAGTCTCAATAAACTCAGTTAAGTACAAGTAGACTCCAGAAACTACAAAGTTTTCTGATAATTTCAGAGTGCGGTTGTTTGTCAAATAAAACACGTTAATGCTAAAATTACCTGTAAGCAAACTTTTTTTTGCCAAGACCCTCCCCCACATTTAAAAAGTCTGATTTTGTACACTGTGTCATTTTTCAAAATCTGCCAAGCACCTGTGACATGAAAGCTATGCTCCCTTTCTCGAAATGAATGTTCAAAAACTATGAAAAGTCTTATTTAGATTCAAACGCATCTTTCAGGAGCAAAAGTAACAACCACCAAGAGCTCGTGAAGTTCAGATCCCGTATCAGTTTTCCCTGTTTTATCGTCCTTTGTGCCTGCTGCATTGCCTTCCTTTTCAGACTTCCCTCAACTGCTTGACCTTGAAACTGTTCCTTCATTATAAGCTTGTGGTCTGGGTCTGAATTTTCAAGCTGATTTGCGACTCGTGCCTGTTCCACAGTAGGAGATTTTGAAGTTATGCAGGTTTGTTTTTTATTAAAATGTCTGTGGTTTTTTTTTATACTGCATACACCTAGCAACACACTAAATGTGCTAAAACATGCTAAGATTTCTTTAGAACTATTGAAAAATATAAGCAACCTGTCACTGAAGTTAACATCACACGGGCTTTTCTACAGTTAAAAAACAAAGGTCACATGCTAAAATCTCCAAGTGTAACACTGACTATAAAAGCAAGTAGATTTTTCAGACCCAGAACGCGTCCAAGTCGGTCTCATTTTCCTTATACATCAGGAAAGAAACCTATCCAAAAACACATCACAGTTTAAATTCATGTAGCGAACAGGTGTTCCAGCAATTCGCCCTTCTTGCTTCATCTTCTTAGTAAGTTAGTAACTGAGAGTGTAAGAAACTGCGCTGCGGTCTTCCAAGCTATGTCAGACACAGAAACTCAGATATGACTAAAAAGCCTAAAAATATTCAGTATTTGTTTCAAGCAGGATGAATTTCCAGTCACTCAGTATTAGTATCTTTTCAAAGCATACTTCAGAATTTCACTAATTCACTTACTGAGTCATTTACATTAATTTTTAACATAAAAGTTGCATTACACCAGTGCTTCAGCCAGCCTATACTTTAACATGACTTAGGATTCTGCAATGTAGCTGAAGGAGACCTGCTAATATTAAGTTTTTCTGATATTTAGCTTAACTGCTTTCTTGCTCTGTTTCATTTTTTACATTCTTTTGGAGTACTCTAAAAAACTCCTCCCACTGACACAAGATTATCCAAATACCTGATAAATTATCTCATCCTTCTCTTACCTATGCCTCCTTTGAAGTTTCATTTCCTATGCAAGCATCCTCTCTTTTAGAGATCTACCTATACAATCGATGTACAAGCTGCTTCATCATTACTTCACTGTAATTTACCATTAACAAAATTGCAGGGTTTTTTTCCAAGATCTCCCCACAGCTCAGTGGTATGGTTTTAACATATTTATGAACTTGCCTTTGGCCAGTAGGATGCAGCCAACATGTATCCACCTTGTAGGAGGTAACTGGAATTTGGGGTCCCGTTGTTCATCTGGAAACTGTCTTGCGTCTCATCTTGTATAGTACTCAGAGAGGCTACGCTCTCTTCATCATATGCTTTTATATGCGGAGTTCCTTCTGCTAAATAAAACCACTAACATCATTTCATGTCATAAAGAAGGTAAACACTCATTGTAAGAGGTTCAGGTGAAGAAACACACAGAACAACGTGAGAAAGTCCAAACGTCAAGTTAAACCGAAGAATTAATCTCTTAGGCTTTCCAGGATGACTGCTGATCCTTTTCTAGGCATGTAAATACCACGCTTACTCCTGTTACTACTGCAAGAGCTTAACATGTCAAACATTTAGCTATTTGAAAACAGACATACTCCAGAGTAATCTGATAGGCAGTCCTTACTTCTTTTAATATATTTCCTTCGTAAGCCAACATGCACTAAAATACAGAATTAAACTGAAATAAAAGGTTTCTGTCACCAGAACATAGCAAATCTGTTGGGATACTACTTAAAAAAAACACCCCATTTCATTTACTGGATGGAATGCTAGATGTCTTGAACACGTGTGTCTGCATCATTTAGTTTTTGATGTTTTAATCACAGAGGACTTTTTCCTAGTATCTTTCCACTGTGTCCTCTGACTTTCTTCTATTTCTCATTTTTGTTTTACTTGTGCCTCCATCCAGACAACAATAAAATTTCACTACGACATGGGGAAACAATCTGAAACTAAAAAAAAGTGCTGCCTGAAAAGGCGAATCCTACATCAGCCCAATGAGTAAGAGTACTGAGGGACAATTCTACAGAACTCAAATTTGTCCTAAACAGCTGCTATGTATCAAGTCATCTGATGTAGTTTAGCTCTCCCTTAAGAGATGTTTCAAATGTGAAAAGTATGCCAAAGGCCCACGATTACTGTACAACCTGAGAAACAAAACCTGGGCTTAAAGTTAAACGTGCGGATGAAGTTAGGAGAATTTTCCAGCATTTACCCATTTCTTCAACTCAGAGCAAAATAGCCACAAAAAGAAAGGCTGACTGATTTACAAGATATTGCTGCCTGACAATGGCACAATTACTTGCCTAAACAGGCTGAGCTGGCAGAAAGCAAGCCTAATATTTGGACTTCTAGCACATGTTACAGTATCCACCATCTAGATCTAAATATTTATATCACATAAGCATTTCTTTTCTCTCTCTTTCAATGTTTGCATACGAGTGTTTCCTCTGACAATGCCCTTCCACTGCTACAGTCAACAGCATCTTAAACATTTTGTTTAAGTGGCATTTTACTTGCCCAGTAAATTAACCCTACAGCTTCCATTTGTCATTTCCACAGACAAGAAGATCCATCTGATTAACACAATGCCTTTTTCCCTGAGGTACTGGAAAAAAGATAGCTTATTTACTTATGTTGTAATCCCACTGCCTAACTTCATCCGCTTCCTTTTTCTATTACCATTTATTATCACACTGTAGAGAAACCTTTTCACATTCTGAGTTTAAGTGAGGCAAGAGTAGAGTACAGTTCATAGTATCAAAATATAGAACGTATTAAATAATGATTGGTTGGTTTATTAAAAAATTTAAATCATTTCACTGCTAAGAGGTTTCTCCTACTTTGAAGCTTTCAAAAGTGTCTTTGTGCTATTTGGTCCTATGCTCTGTAATCGCCTCAGTCTTTGCTAAGCAGGTACATATTTTTAAGTGACTGAGAATTTTCAGTGCAAGTACACTGCTTGGCCACCTCCAGTTTACAAGAAAATGAAAACGCAGCTGACATTATTACTCTGTAGCTTGGACAGAAGGAAGCTTGCAGATTTCGTGAAAGCACAATGAGGAAGCTACAAAGACAGGTGAGCAAGAGGGGAAAAAACAAACAGGGAAACCAAAAGAATTTCTCTATTCAGGAAGAAAAAGAAACAGTAGTAGGAAATACACACACAATATATTTCCAGAAAACATCAGCCATTCAACTCTCCCCCCATATGTGAACCACATACACATTAAACTGGCTTAGGCAATCAGTCAACAAATCCTAACAACCTCATCCAAGGGACTGATGTGAAGCAAAGAGAACACTCTATCCCTGAAACTCTTACAACTCAATTGAAGAATCAAGCAAATACGTTTATTTAAGTTTACTTTCGTGGGATTTAATATCCCTTTTTAAATATTTTTCACTTGTTCAGCGTAAGAGTTACACCGTAGAAATAAGACTACACACATACCACGTTTTTGTGCCTCCTCTTCATCACTATCACTCTCTTCAGATGATGATGATGACGACGATGATGACGACGATGAGGAGGATGATGATGACGAAGATGCTGAAGAACAAGATGAAGATGATGAAGAGCTAGAGCCTGATCGAGAGTGTGAACAAGATGAGGAAGAGGAAGAGGATGAAGAAGATGACCTGGAAGAACAGGATGATCTATCTGAGTCAGAGTCCGAGTCAGAGCTGGAGTCAGATCCCCTCTTGCTGACTCTCTGTTTTTTGGAAGCTGGGTTTGGAGTTAGAGGCTCTGTCCTTGCTGCCACCATGCGCCTGTCTGTTTCTGTCTTGATGCTAGGTTTGTGGTCTGTATTTTGTATTGGTGTGCCATTTTTTGGACTCAAAGGTTCAGATTTCATTAGTGGCTGTGTCTCCTCTGTAGACATAGATTCCTCTTCAGAAGACTGAGGGTCCTCTTTCAGATTTTCATTTTTAGCTTTTGTATCCTCAAAAGCATTTACTTTAGCATCTGACAATCTTGACTGAGGTGTAAGAGGAGAAGCAGATAATGCCATCTGGTACTGATGCAAGAGTGGAGTAGAAGTCCTTGAGAGTGCCACTTTATTTTGATTATAGTTCCTCTGAGCAGACATAAATGATAGTTCAGGATCACGAAGAATATGATAATCTGTCCTGCTAACTCCATGTTTTGCCGCTCCAATAAGTAAATCCCTGTCATGAGCCCCACACTCCCACCAGACAGGCAAGTCTGGGTTTGGCTGGCACAGCTTTAGTCGTTCAAACAACTGCGGGTGTCTAAGAGCTTGTTCTCGCACTTTCCTTAGGAGTTCAATGCGATACAAAGTCCGAGAAGCACGCTCCTCTGTAATTGGTTGGATAAAAATGTTTGGGTCTACGAGTTCTGTATTAAAAGAAAACAAAGATGAGAATCTGGCAAAAAAAAAAGAAAAAAAAATCCTACTGCAAAACAACACCAGAAGTAGATGGCTTTAATCAGTTAATGTATCTCTCCCCATTATAAGCTTTCAATTATACACTTTACACATTTACTTATTTCCGTCTCCCCCATTTTTATTTTGGAACACATAAAAAAAAAAACCTTTTGAAGATAAGCACTGGCAACAGAAATTAAAGATAAAACTAACAGTAAAACTACACCCACCCACCTTCTTTTGAGGGGAGACGACAGACTCTCCGGCACATTGACATAAATGCATACAAGTACTTCTCTAAGCTCTCATCAGTTTTCTTATGTAGCCTAGCCATTGCTCTAAACTTGGTCCAGTCAAATCGCCCCCTTTCAGGATCAAACACCACTCCAAACGTGGACACAACTCTGTAAAAGTCAGCTTCTTCTCTTCTCGTCCACCTTGATCAGCAAGAAAAAAAAAAAGGAAATTCTGTCATTTTCTTCACTATTCCATGCAGCTAGCAGTTATTATTTCTTCAACATTTTTTATATAAGGATGCATTAAAAATGTTTATTTGTACGCTGCACATACCTTTGCTGTCTTTCAATCTTAGCAGCCATCTTTGGATTTAGAGCAGCTTCTTCGTATGGAGGCTGCATAATACTAGTTTGTACTGGGAATGCTGGCTGGATCTGCTGGGCCTGCCTATTTTTACTTGTTCGTTGATAAGCTGTTATTAGGCGGCGAAGGCGTGTTGTTAAGGCAGACTGAGTGGGCCAATAGATTTTGTCTCCTTCCATCATTTGTCCATCTATGTTAAAACAAAGTCACAGGAAAAATAAAAGCTGTTAATCATTGCTGGTGCCCATGGTTCTACATGAGGTAATCTAAACAACTTTCAGCTAAGAGTCAGGAGAATTAAACAATTCAAAATAGACTGAACTGATTCATATTTCAACTTTTACATATTTACCTCCATCTGCTATTACTAGATCACCTGGGGATGAAACATCATCCTGTGGAAAAACCAAAAGTGAAGCAAAATTTAAAAAGCAGCCCTCTCCAGAGATTCAGGTTAAACTTACATCTTGCAGACAATTTATGAATATGACAAAGAACAAGAGTAACACACACTCTGGACAAATGGCTAACAAGGTATACAACAGAATTAGACAACTCCTCCCTCCCATTCCCCCCCTCCCCCCCAACTGCAGAAACATAAGGAATAAGTTCTATCAATGTAGAGAAATACAGAAAAATGTAGTAATATGCTCAACAAAAAGGTGGAAGTATTACATTCTGTTAAAAGGAGCTATTAATAGGTGCCTACTATACCTCTATGTCATCTTTAAACATTGCTGGTGCTGGCTTGTATTCTGGATCTTCTACATCTCTGTCAAAATTTCAACACAAAAGAATCCATCTTAGTAATATTTTACAAGTCATTTTACTCCTTTCAATTAAGCAAAACTCACTTAAATTTAGTTAGAGATACCCTGTTTAATTTTCTGTTTGAAATGAGGAAAATATATCATGGCAGCTCTGGCTTTAATCCTGCCCCCCCAGTTCACTCTCTCATTCAAAAATATTCTTTATGACAACAGCTGCTAACCTCTCTGATGAAGCAACAAATATCAGCAGTTCTCCCTTTCAGCAGTTATCAGTGATACTCATATTGATCTACTGGGGTCACTGGTTAGCTACACAAGACTAATATACCAAGCCAACTGATCTGAAATCAAGTTAAACAGGTCTGTAGTACCCTGCCTCTGAAGGTTTTTGCACTTCAGTGTTTAAGTAATATTTCTGATACAGCAACACAAGGCCGAGTTTTTGTTAACAACAAATTGCTGCATTTTTCCTTTAACTGTGAAATCCCAAACTTCAATGGTTCTGTGACACTGTTCCTAACTCTGTTCCACTTTGTGGGAGTAAAATCAAAGCAGTACTCTTCACAACAATGACATGAAATTAGTAGAAAAACAGTTAAGCAAATCAAGTACAACATACAAATCCAGTCTCATTTATTTTAAGGTCCCGAAACACTCACGCCCACTTTTAAGTGCCCATACCCATCAATATAATCATTTGCTCTCTGTTCGGCAGCAACTGCTTTTTCATCTGGCTTGCCAACCCTTTCCAAGAAGCATAGTGCTGGGTCTGCTCTGATAGTGTTGTATTTCTCATAACCTACAAAGGGGAAAAAAAAGTGGCACAAATTCAACTTTCAGAGTAAGCCACAAAAAAATTGAGCATAGGGTGTTTATACTGAGGGGTGGGAAGTACATACGTAGTCATCCATATTACTCACCATGCTTAAAAACTCCAATCAGAAGGGACTTATCTGCATCTGCATCCCACCACTCCGCAGGAACTTCAGAGTGATCTGGCTCAGGGACCCAAACATCAATTTCACTATGGAGAATCACCAACAACACACCAACATCAATAATATTCAGAGAAGAAATAGTTTTTCATTTTCTCTTTGTACATTTCTACTTCATGTGTGATTTTAAAGCCTCCCTCTTCAAGCATACATATACAACATTCCATCTCCAGGAAACTAATTCAAAGATTACTCTGAAGGTTGTAAAAAGTCCTAGGATTGAAATGTTTCAATTTTTAATGGACTTTGGTATTTAATAGCAAGTAACAAAGCGGATGGTTACTCTACTAAGTTACATAAGCCAGATGATACAATACTAATTAATCATTAAGAACAGTTTTGTAACCTGAAGACACCAAGGCATACAGTTTTTTACCTCTGCATTCAGTAAGACCCTAAAAACAGCAATACAAAACACCCGGACAGCTTAGTATTTTCTATTTGACAGACATCAATAACAGGGAAAGAAAGCAGAATCAGCATATAATATTCTTCCTCTCTGCCAACTCCTAGGAGTTTGTGCGTGCGTAACTCAGCAAACCAAGAACGATTTGCTTTAGTGTTTAACAGCACAAGATGGACTGTTCTTCCACAAAAGTCTACACCACCTTCCTGAATCAAATCAAAACTTTATCAATCACAAGCTCCTGTAGCAGTGAGTTCAAGAGTTTCCAAATGGCAATGCTTCCATTCAAAAGAAAAAAAAAGTTAATTGATGGAATATGCAGCACATAACCAAAAGCATGCATAAAGAGGCAGGAAAAACCTGCCAGTTACAGAACTATATACTTTGCATTCTTTTTCACTCACTTTTTTGGTCTATTTCATTCAAGTAATTTTACTTTATATAGCCAGACTCAGAAATAGAAGGCAGGACTTCCTCACATCAAGTACACACAAAATGTTTAGTATACATAAATATAAGAGTAAACAAAATCATTTTTCTCACAGCCTAAGGATACAAACATTTGGTTTTACATTTCTTGTTTAGGTCTACGAAGACTTCTGAATTTTCATTTGATAGTTTACACTTGAAATAAACAAGCAAAAAAACCTCTCTATAGTTCACCTGGCATCAATTCCATCAAACACCTTTTGGAATTCATTACCAATGACTTCTTGTTTTAAGTAATACAGCATTCTTACTCGCAGCAAGACCCTAAACAAAGAAAAAAAAAGTACAAATATTAGTACTCTAAAAGCTTTCAATAGTTATGGATGGTTTTGATTTTTGTTTTTTGTAATATCACAAGGCTTCTAAGTCATTTTCCTAAAACATACTTCCTTCAGTGACACAAAGCGATAACCTCCAATTCAGGTCACCTAGTGCTTTTTTATTGTGATAGCTTTCACAAATCACTTCATTGCAAAAATTCTTTCAAATCCTAGACAAAGACCAGGGCCAGCAGAACACTCCTCACTTGCTTCATAAAACGCTGCTAAGAACAAACAGCTATCTCCCGCTTCCTGCCTGGGAGATTGCCTTAGAGAATGGAGCGGGCTGACAACGAACATCTCGCACATCAGCGTTTCATTCCTTCTCACTTAGAATTTGGTGCATGACCCCAATGGCTTCTCCATGCTTTATCTCAATTCTTGACTACAGCTGTATGAAGTTTTCCAGCACAGTATGACAAGTTTTGCTATAGAAAAATGATTTATCTAAAACAAGTTCACTCCCGGCTACGAATGAGCTCTCACAGCAAGCCAGTAGCTCAGATTCTCAGAAGCCTAGAAAACATGCCAGGTAAACAGCACGTAAGATTGAGGGGCAACAACTTCACTGTTTTCAGTTTCTTTGCTAAGCACTCCCAAACTCTTTAGTCCTTTGGCTTCTACAAGGCTCCCCAAACATACTAGCAATATCCATCTCTCTTTCTCTGTACAAACACAAACACACAGTTTCTTCAGAAATGATAACAGAACTCTTTTAAATTTTAATTACTCACTTCATCTTTCTAATACACTGCAACCTATTTATTCTAATCAAGCTAACACCATTAAAAGTTGTTTCTTCCTAGTGCCACAAGGTATTTTAAAGTGTAAGGCAATGAGGAATTAGAAGGAAAAAACCAAAAATCTTTAAACATTGAAAGAGGTTCACGCTTCAGCTACTGCTTACTTGTTGCAATGGTGTTTTATGTGCTTTTTGTATCCTTCATCTTGCAACAGATGTTCTGGATTGTATTTTCGAAGCCATTCTGCTTTATGTATATCAAAAGTGCTAGCCTGGGTCTTCACTTTTTTTCCTTTTCTTCCTCTAGGCACAGGGGCTGATAAGCCTATATAATTTAAAATATAATATAGTAACAGCAACAGGTAGGTATAGATCCGTACGACACTTACAGATGCTATATCCTACACCAGTATTCTGTCCTGCAGTGCAGAAAAAATACTAGCATCATAGCCTCTAGATACGAGTCTTTTTTCTTTTTTGTCTCTCAGAGCACCTCTGGAGTACATTTCACCAGCTACAGACAAAGCAGGAGGGGGGAAGAAAGGAGAGTGTGTTGTCACCTACTATGAAACAGAATAGGTTCTGATGAACTGAAGTGAAAGGAAAGCTTACACAGAGTATACTGATCCATTTGAGTAAGCCATCAAACAAAGCAAAGCAGAAATGATACTCCTTTTCCCCATCAACTGCATTGTCTATCTGGAATAAATTCCACTTCTTTTTGAAGTAGGGTGCATTCAGACAGAATTTTTAGCTGTTTTTCTGCCAGTACCACAGGCATATGTATATGAGGCTATTTAACTGCAGAAACACTAAGTTCTTACCAAGATGATTCTGTAACTCTCGTGTTTGCCCATCCTCTGTTGGGGTAATGAGATCCCATATAAAACTTTTTATTTTCTCATCCCCTCTGTAGTGCACAAGACAATAGGCTAACAGAGCTCGGCAAATTATCTCCACATCCTGCTCATTCAGCTGTCTCTTGAAGCGACCATGCGACAAAATTTCTCTCCATCGACCCCACCTAGTCCAAAGCGAAACACAAATCAGCACTTGGAAGCAAAACACTTCGGTAGCCTGGATATTTCTGTTGCAAAAGGGAATTTCTCTGTAAAATATTTAGCTTTCCACTTTCTTCCTTCAGCCTAAGTGACTACGCGCAAATATGAAAGTAACATTTGCAACAAAACTCCATCTGTTTAAAACAGAGTTTTTAAAAAAACTCGCCTGTTCACAAAAAAATATGGATGATTGTTTTAGGCTTCTAAGACACAAAACTGATGGGAACTCATACTGATAAGCACACAGTCATTTATCTTGTAAGGTGAGCAAAAGAAGACTTAAGATTTTATATCCAAATCACCATATCTGATTTAAGTCTGCTTAAAATAACTGGTTAGATTTTCAGTTCCTATTTCCACCCCACAGAAGTGCAGTATGTTCTGCAATTATCAACACCAAGTCACTTACCAAGTCTTTATTTCAGATATTTATTTACAGAATTTTGAGCCTGCCTGTAGCACTTACTGTAATGATTTTTAGAGACACTACTGTAGTGCCCACATTAAATGTCATAATCCTCTTTAAGAATGGTTTTCACCTCTCTTCTTGAGTGTTCCTCCAATTGAGAATTGTCAGATTTATACAGGGCGCATGATAAATTCATATTCTAAATAAATTATATATATACACACAGCAGGTTATTACCAATATAGCTAAAAGTCATTCCATAAATACAATTTAGTCCATGGAAAAACAATGGTTTCTTACAACTCCTTAGAACGAAGAAGGATGTATACAATACCCATAAACCAGCAGGTTTTTTTCCACCCGAAAGCATTCTGTTCTTCCGTATCCATTGGAACGGTCATAAGGCCTGCGGAGCTTTGGTTTATCATCACCCTCGCTCTCCACTTCAGACAACTCGGCCAGCTCATCTTTTGTAGCACTAAAAGGGCGAGTTTGTTTCCTAATTCTTGGGGTATCAATAACCAGGCTGTTCTGCAAAATTTCAAACAAACCTCCTCAGAGAAACAGTTGATAAGTTTTTCTGAAGTAGATGGCTTCAGTTCAGAAACAACAATTTTTATCTAATGTCATTAACAGATATTTTGCAGAGGCATCACAGTAAACACCCATAAAGCAAGTAAAACATTTTGTGGTATTTAAGGCAACAAAAAATGGGTTTCATACCATGCTGCTGGTACATTAGCTATTAACAATACTGAATACCTCATCTGCGCTGGATACTTACACAGGCTACGCTGCAGCCTCTGTGAGCACAAAGGGGCACTGAAACCTTTTCAAAACTGACTGCATGGGAATGTCTTCAACTAGAGGGCACAACTTCCAGTGTTGTAAAACTGATATAATTCCTAGTCAGCTATTTTGCAGATTCCAATTCAGGATTTACAGACAGAGAAACAGGGCAATCAGAACAATTACAAACCTTCAACCATTTGCAGGTCTTCAACACAAATAAAAGACCCCCAGACTCTTCTGGGACAGCAAAGAGCCAGGAAATTCTATAGCCATCAGCAGGCTGATTGCCCATGCACAAACTAACCAGTGCAGAAAGTCTGATTTGTTGAAATATTAATCAAAAAAGCACCAGAAATCCTACACATGCTATTTCAGAATTTAAGAGCAAGCATACACTTGAAAAAAACTTGCATGAAAAAAGAAAAGTACTTACTCTACCACTGATAGCATCTATATCTATTTCTGCTTTTTTGGCCCATTTCTGCCAGAAGTTGGGATCATCTAGTGAAATATCAGTCCTGTTTCCAGATGCAACAAAACTAGCCTGTAATAAACGGAACCAAATCTTATCAACATGATACATCAAAAGTTTGTAGAGTCTGAATGCCTAATCGTATTTCAAATCTCCCAAGCAGCTGTTAGTAAGTTACTTAGAGCACAAAGCAACTCACAAGTTCTCCTCCCCCTTAATTTTTTAAAATCAGATCCATAACATATCAGAAAAATCTAATGAACTTTTATGCACCACCAGGAGAGCAGAACAGTAGGCAGCAAGATTATTCTGCTTTAAAGTCTGAATCTAAATTACTTAAATGGAAGAAAATAGAATCTTCTCAAGTGGCTTATCAGCATTTGGGGATTTCATCTCAGGCAAAAGTACTCGCTTGAGGGAAATTTCAAAGGATTGTTTAAACTACCAACAATCAAAGCTTGAGAGCATGGAATAAGTTTAATTTCAGAAGGCATTTAAGAAACCCTGCTTCTGGGAAAACAGTAAATATATATAAAAATTCCTGACCCTCCTGATAAAAAGACAGTGATGATGATATTCCCTAACTGGTTTCCCATCTCTTCTTTAGAATTCTTTTTCTTATCTAATCCACAATCAACAAGATATAAAAGCCTAAATACATGTATAATTAATATTTATAAAATAATTAATACAAATCTATATTCTTAAAAAGCTTTCCTTTTGCTTTGCTGCCTTTTTTTTTGGAATTGACACACCTGCTTTCTTGAAGTACACAAGTTCTAAACTCAGTTATACTGGGGTGGGTTTTTTTTAATTATTATTTCTGTATTTTTAAATTTACCTGAATTTGTATTTGTTCAGATTCATATTTGCACACACTCTGAAAATTAAGGAGTCCAAATCTACTTTTTGTTCTGTTCATCCAATTTTCCATCACAAACTTTTTTATGCTATAATATTACTGTTTTTCCTCTTACCCACAAAAATTAGAATGTGTCAATCCAATTTTCTTCTTGATTATTACTCCTAAGACCTTACATTCTCAGCCCCCATCATGTACATATATATATATATACACACACACCCTCCACCCCTGCTTCGGAGCTTTCTTATTTTGCTTTTAAAACTCTTATCAAAAAGGCTAAAGGTTCAAACTATACTGTATGCATAGGCATTTTTAGAGTAAGCCTGACAATTTTTCATCTTATTATTGTCTTCTATGTATTATCTCCTGCTCTTAATGTATCTGAAAGCAAATGGATCTGTAGACAAAATTGTTTTAATATTCCTGGTTAATGCACTCCATAATATCTCACACAAATCCTAGCCTTTTCAAAAGCAGCACACTATTACTCACCTTTGCTCAAGCATGCTCTTGGCATTTACTTGATCTGTACATGCAAATCTGATTTTGCCATGTGCACATGTTAATATAAACACACAGATCTAAGAACCCCAAAAATATACCTAACATACACATTAAATAGAAGTAAATATAACAACAGCAAAAGACATAGTCATTACAACATTTAATTACATTTACAGTTCTACACTGCTCAAGAACAACTCGCTGCTTCTGCACCTTGGCGAACGTGGAGCCCCTTCCCTCTGATTCAATTGTGATAGTTTTAGTACGACGCTGCAAAATCTGGTCAATGTCTTCCTCACAGAATTTAGAGCCTTCATCTTCTTCATCCATAATGGCACCATATGCACCTCTTCGAAGCAAGTCTTCTATTTCTTTTTTGGAGAGTTGTTGGATCTAAGCAAATAAAGCAAGTTTTAGACAGTTGAGGAAAAAATCCCCCCCACATCTTTTCTATTTCTCTTCCCCTTTCCAATGTTTCTGCAACCTAACTGTGCCTTATAATTTACAAACATCTAGATTATTAAAAGCTAAGAGAAAAGTCTAGCTGGCAGTTGAAATAATTTGTTATGTGGTTACAGTACACATTTTCACAAGTATGTGTCTTTTTTGTTTCAGCTTTTCTCAACACTGTGACAAACACAAGTTTAAAAAATTTACCTGTTAATACTAGATGTAAATCTCATCTTCTATTAAAGTAACACATTATACTAATGTTTCTATTAAAATAACACATTATACTAATATGAGAAGATACAAAGAAGATACTAATACGAGAAGGAAACAAAGAAAAACTTGTCTCCTTGTTTTAACTTTCACATTATCTACCTTAGACCTTAAGAGGCAAGAAAATAGTGGAAGATTTATCACAGTAACTGACTACACTTAAGATTATGCCAACTATGTTGTTAGTCCACATCAGAAAACATAAGAGATGCAAATGACAGAAACAAGGTAGCCTCTGTAATTTAAAGTAGTTGCCACATGATTACAAAAGCAAAATTTGAGTTATTTCAAGAAGGAAGTTTACATACACCACCGACACTGTTTTCTCTTCCACTCATACTCTGTAAGACAGCCTTATCCAGTCCCAGTTTCAGACTTGCTCTGTCAAACATCTCTCTCTCATAGGAGTTACGCGTTATCAGTCTGTAGACCTTCACTGCTTTGTTCTGACCAATCCTGTGACAACGGGCTTGAGCCTGTTGAAGGAAGGGAGAACAGCAATAAGAATTTAGATTTAACGAGGAATAAAGTATGATCCTTTTAAGAAATTCTTTCTGCTGTAGCACAATCTGAAAACCAAACGTACGAACTCGAAAGGAAGTCAATTCACACTTAAACAAGTGGAAGCTATCAGACATTTTCCACATTGTGAACAGTTTTCTAAAAACAGTGTAGTAAGTACAATGCACATGAATGATCTGTGCTAAATGCTACTGAATGGTATTTCTCTGGCAGTAACACTAGATTAACAGACATGCTAGCTTGTAAGTCATCTGACCTCCAGACAGAAATGGTAAAGCAGTTGCGACTTGAGAATGTATTCAATTTCAGAATTCAACTCCTAAATTCGATTAATTCACTGTTTCTTAATACATATTAATCCTTTTCTATATACCATGTTTTAGTTGAACAGCTCTATTTCCATGAATTGTGCTAGTCAGTACACGTAAAATCTAACCCCCTTTCCTAATGTCATCAAAATCCTAAGGGTTTTACCAACTCACTGACGTAGTTTATCTGTGTTATGCTTTAAAAGAGTAATCAATTGTAAAGAAAAGTTAGAACCCAGACAAACACAGATGACCTCTCCTATCCAAGTACAAAGTATTCATCAAAAACTATTACACTTATGCCTTAAAAAAACCTGAACATTTTAAAATGGCGTGTGTTCAAAACAGAGACAATATTCACAGTGACAAAATCTGTATCAGACAGGTTTGACTTCTCTGGCCTCACTACTATGCTCAAAGGAATTTACCTGCAGATCATTTTGAGGATTCCAGTCAGAATCAAAAATTATACACGTATCTGCTGCAGTCAAATTAATGCCCAAGCCCCCAGCTCTGGTGCACAGAAGGAAGACAAAGCGATCAGAATCTGGTTTGCTGAAGCGGTCAATTGCAGCTTGTCTGAGATTGCCTCGTACTCGCCCATCAATTCGTTCATATAAGTACCTGCAAATTGGCACAGATACACACACAAATCATGACAAAGTTTTTAATAATTTAAAGGGAGATTAGAACAGATCTCCTGCTTGTATATTCTTTCCAGTGAATAAAAGTGATTACCGGTGGGTAACATAACCAGGAATCGCAACAGAACTCACATAGCGGCAGTACTAATACACATCAGCAAGCCCAAACACTGAGTATTTTAAGACAAGTTCTTCTGAACTTTGTCCACTAAAGCAAGTACACGATTATACATACCAGGAAACATGTATTACCATGGCACTTTGTGGCATTAAAACATACCATAACCCGAAGTCCCATGTGGAGACTTAGAAGACTGTCAAATGCTATTATGCTTGGATCCCTGCCTGGGATCACAGAAGCAGGATAACGTGCTTATTGTATTATATACCAAATTGTCTGAACATGTCAGGGGGAACCAAGTAATCAGCACAAAGCAGTACTGGGTGAGCTGTCACTGGACCAACCGCACTTTCATTCTGTCAAGAGGAAGAGAAATGGAACGAAAACGACATGACCGCACCTCTAACAGTCTTTATCAAGGCACCAACAAATCCAGGGCTTCTGAAACTAAAACCAGCACATTTAAAAGCCTGAAGTAAAACTGTCATATCCGTTACCTTTGATAAGTACAAAGACTCCTATGAAACTTCTGAAATCAAGTAAAATTCTTAAGAAGGGAGCAAATACTTCTGTACACTGTAAATGGAGTAAGACGCTGAATGTGTATCTACTAGTCAAAAAGCTTCACAACCATTTTTCTTCTAATCAGTTATGAAATGGCACAGCAGATAATCCACAGGACCATAGGCATTTTGGCTGGCAGCCATCCCCTACAGTTATGAATTCTGTTAAGTATTAAGTACAATCATGTGTTCACTCTAACATTTCTAATAAAACTGTAGCATAGAGCAAGCTTTGGCTCCTATGGTTTTCAAAAGATTCTATCTATAGATATCCTGCACTAGTCTTAATGTTACACAGTTACAGAAAAAGTAATACATTCCATACTGGTTTATAAGTACTACTATGAAGTTAAAATTAGTCTATTAAAACATACAAACTGTGAGTTGTCAGTTCAAATAGATAGCTTTATGAAACAAAAAAAACATAGAAGCACAGAAGTTTTACCAACTTGTCACAAAAAAGTTGTATTAATATAATCTACTAATGATTTTCAATATACATTCCAGTATGTGCTGCAGAAAGGCTTGACATCTATACTAATTTTTATGGCTTTTACACATGAATTCTGTTACTCTGTAGTTCAGTGACATACGTACACTTCAAAGCAGTATGTACATTCCAACAAACGGACCACTAAAACAACCAGAACCATGCTTTTTTATAGTTTTTCAGGTTGATATAGTAACTACTGATTGTAACCAAGTTTAAGGTTAGGTATTATGTGCTAAGGCTGTATGTATAGTATTTAGTCACGTGCTTAAACAAGCTCTTCATTTCCGTGGAGTCAAGAGTATAATTAAAGGGTGTTATCCAATGTGACAGGAAAAGCTGATCTAAGGAACTGCTTTATGGCTGGTAGTTTGTTTCTGCCACAAAATTCAAAGCAGCAGAAATTCAGGAAAGATCAGAAGCACATTTTTATTTTTACATTAATAAAAACCAAACCTCCAGTTGTTTACCATTTGCTACTCGTATTGTGCTGGGAGCAAGGAGCTTCATTACCCCTGCCTGGTCCAAGTTCAACACAATGCACATAAAGAACACATTCTCTCTTTCTGGAGTTTGGAGAGCAATATGGAGCTTGAACTTACCTGGTTTCTGACAAGCACACATAGAAGAACGTTTAACACAGAAGGCAACAAACTGATGGCACACATTTTACTCAACAACCTCTCTTTAGTTGTTCTCTGAAGTTTTTCATTTGTTGGTGAACAAATGATACACCATCACAGAACACAGCAAGTTACACAGTGATTCGCAAAAAACCCAAAACCCTATCTTTCATATGCTGTAATCATTAATCCCGCCCTAACATTCAGAGCCATGCCCGCTGAGACAAATATACTACAGGAGAAAGAACATACCATATCTTACCTTTTATGTATGAGGTAATCCTCCAAAATATCAAGGCAGCGCACCATCTGAGAGAAGATAAGGACCTTGTGGCCTCCCACCTTCATTTTCGGAAGAAGTTTATCAATAAGAACCAATTTACCAGCAGACTGGATCATTGCTTGCAGATGGAAGTCAGGAGCACTTGGGCTATACGTTTCTCTAAACTCTCCAAGGATTTTCTCTTCAGCTCCTATCGAAGAAGGTATTTCTGTATTACAGGTGTATCTACACAAATATCTCCACGTACATACAAGACTAAGTTACCAAAAATCAGTGGTTCTACTTTAAATATCCTCCATTAGCCACTGCTGGAGACAGAATAAAGTTCTGGATGACTGAAGTCTAGCAAGAACATATATTTCTAAGTTCTTCGAAAACAAGTCTTAAGTCTTTAAGCAGAACACCACAGGAAAAACAACTAAAATAAGGCGAACTCCGCTGCAAAAATAAAAATACAACTTGTTCTCAAGTTTTGTGTAAAAAACGACCTAAAAAACAACAGGTGCTTTTGTCTCTGTGACGTGTTAAATGGGACATCAGTCTCAAAAAGAGTGTTTTGAAGATCTTTTCTGAAGTCCCACTATGGCTGAAATAATAGCAAAAACTTTAAGAGCTTAAAGTATATTTTCTTGCAAGGAAGAAAAACTTCCAAGTTAGTTATAACCGAGCAAAGCAATGATAACTGACACAAAGCATATCACTTGAAAGAAGAATTCATTTTAAAAATTAGCTCTAAAAGTTCTTCTTTACACTGTTTTTAAAGAGATGAAACATTTCCATGAGACAATTGCTTCTAAATGTTCTGTGAAATCCTACAAAACAAGAAGTTCATGTTTCAGGCCTCAAATATGCAACTCCCTCACAACTTTGCCTTACATCTACCAAAAAAATGCTTTCACCTAATCCAGTCCTTGGCAAGTCTAATAAAAGCATCAAAATTAAAATATGTAAGAATTTTCATAGCAAGTAAGGGTACAGAAGTAGTTAAAAAAAGAATCAGTCTTTGTCATGTATTTACCTTTGATGAGATACGGGTGATTACAACACTTCCTGAGTTCCATCATAGTGTTAACCAGATTCGGAACGTTTGCTTGTCCTGCTCCCTTGGATAAGAAAGCAAAGTTTTTCTCCAAAATTGCTCGATAGTATTTCTTCTGAATATTAGTTAGTTCTACTTCAATTATAGTTTCCTCCTTAGGAGCCAGTTTTTTTTCTACATCCTCTTTCAATCGTCTGAGCATCATGGGTTTCAAGATAGCTTGTAGTTTCTGAACCTAAATGAAACACAACAGTTTTTTGGAACCTGAAAAACTAATACTGTAGTTCAACTAAAATTTTTCAAACTCCATATCACCATTTTCCTAGACGTACATAAAATATTTTCCAGAGGGGATGCAGCCTTATTTTTAACCCTAAATTACTAAAGTTTTTTTTAATGTACTCAAAAACCAAAACAGAATCTTTTTAGCACTTGTCTGCAAAGACTCTGCCTACAAAGGAAGAAAATTTCAGTTTTTATTATTTTCACTATTTACTTGCCAAATTTATAAAACCAACCCCCAAAAGCAAAAATAATTCTTTAACATAAAATATCATGCTTAACTGATCTCCACTGCTTGCACAGTATAGAGAAATTGCATGACAAAAGAACTCATAGGTGGTACGTGGGGAGCGAAGGGGAGGGGCGAGGAACAGTAATGGTTATTACCCAAACCAAAAGATTTTCCTTCAAGGAAGTCACTCTTACACACTGAAGCTCAAAATGAACTTCTACAACATACAATACCTGTTCCTCTGTTTTAAGGTCTCCAAATTCTTGCATGAATGTAGATTCCGCAGGAAAACGTAACGGTTCAAGAAAATGAAGCAGGCTAAATAATTCTTCTACTGTGTTCTGCAGCGGGGTACCCGTTAACAGCACTTTATGCTCCTATAAAAGGAAACAAATGTCACATGACCTTATGTGGACACATATGCAATAAAATCTGTGTTTAAGTCTGAGCATCATAACCTGAAAATGGCAGTTCTGCATGTCACTAAGTACATGAAGAACAACACTACATATTTTCTACCAGCTTTTCTTTCAATTCTGTCTTCCTACGTCTGTAGTGAAGAAATGACAGAATACTTCAACTTTTTCCTGTAATATTGACACATGTATAATCCTCTCTCTCTGTAGCTTGGAAAATATGCACTCAGCATGTATCAGAAAGCAAAAAAGGACAACTTCTGAAAACACGTAGCAGCAAGTGTTCCAAAGTAATAATGAAGTGAAGAAAACACTTCCGAACTAGTCATGGTGTATCTTGTAGTAAGTGCACTGAAAGCCTCAAGATACATGGTAGTATCTACTTTATAAAATCTGGCACTGTATCAAATAAAACCTTAACTATGGGACTAGACAATAATTCTGTTTTAAATTCTACTTGCTTGCTTTTATTCTTAAACAACTTGTTTAAAGTACTTGCTAGGTTTTTAAGCATTAATTACTGCACAAAACCTTGCACAAAAACTATTTTCCTGTTATAAAGCAATTTTAAAATAAAATCTTCACCATAATCAAAACAAACTATAGAATAGTATACTCAGAAACAGATTCTGCTTACATTTAGAACTTGCCATGTTTTATTTAGTGAAAAACATACCTGCAACAGCTATCAAAAATACAGAGAGTATCAGCAAAACTAATTTATGATTTATTTTCATACTGTACTTAACTATAATCAAACCCAAAAAATGAAATATAGTTACTCACAAGGTTCATTAATTTTAGTCCTTCCAGGAGTTTGCAATTTTTGTTCTTCAGTCTGTGAGCTTCATCAATAATAACGCATCGCCACTCAATTGCATTTAATTCTGGACACCCACCAAGAATCATTTCAAAAGTTGTGATAATGGCTTGGAATCTGTAGGTACCTCGAACAATACGTCCCTAGAGATTCGTCAACACACAAAGTTTATTACATTACCTAGGATCTACTCAATTTAAACATTTTGTTGCTGAAATTTTATCAACAGCCAGATACCAGATTTTACATCGTAAATTGTTTCGTCATCCCTACGCATTTATTACATCTCTGTAACTGTGTAGTTAATACTCATGAGTAATTACCCATAGCCACAAATCCAATATTGTCTAACCAACAGTAAAATTTTAACCACTTCAAAATTACAGATATAACCTTCTAATAACACTGTTTCAAAAGGTGTATGCACATATCACATTTTTAACCCTGGGAAAATCTGAAAGACTGACAGGAAAAACCCTACAGTCAATCAATCAAAACATAATGGTAATGCATTTCACACTCACACAGTAAGTAATAAAAATATCACCTGAGAACTAAATGAACACTTTTTACCCAGCTTACTCTGTTGGTCTGACAAAGAGAATATGCAAGGCAGTACACAACAACTCATGAGAGAAACAAGGTGTCATTCTAACATTTACCATTACTGTTAAAAAGTTTTCAGTTTTATCAATTTTGTGGAAATACTATGAAAGTTAAGAACTTGTTTATTTATGCAGAATATACAGAAAAGGCAAAAAAACCCCTTTAAAAATCATCAGATTTCAAAGTTTTTTCATGTAATTCAAGGTGAAGTATTTCAGACAGAAAAGTAAACTGTACACAGACAAAGCTAGTTTACACCTGGAAAAAGAAATCAACAACTACAATAAGGGTAACACAGAGCTTAACTGGCTGTATTTTTGTTCTCACTGCTCTTCAGAATCAGGGCTCAACTGCAACCATTCGCCTACACTTCAATCTCCCCATGAGTATCAGCCTCACTGCTGTTCAATTTTACACTCACCCAGCATACTGAAACAGCATACATCTTGCTGGAACCACTTGCACAAAATTTACTGAGTAAGCATATGTTAAACATTCTGATATATAAAAAGCTTAAAAAAATGCACCACAAGATGTAAAATGACTTTCGCCAAGACACGTGTACAGATAATGTGTCATATACTGTCATTACTACTACCTGAAACAGGTTTTGGGCAAGTTAGTGCACACAAGTGACATTACAGTACCTGGGAGTCCCTGCAGTACATTTCATACTGCTGAATCATCTGCCTGCTGATCATGCTTCCGTGATACACTACAACATTAAGGTCAGTCCACGTGCGAAATTCTCTTTCCCAGTTTGTTATAGTGGAAAGTGGAGCTATGATGAGAAAAGGCCCTCTTATACCAGCCAAGAGGATTTCATAAAGGAATGTAATTGACTGAATGGTTTTGCCAAGACCCATTTCATCTGCTAAAATGCAGTTTCGCCTGAAAGTAAATTACATTTATTTGTTATTAGCATCAAAGAAAGCACAGACACTAAACCTGTTACTAAAATGGACAAGTTATAAAAGCAAAGCTCCAATATACCAGTCTAAAACAATAATCAAAACTGCGGCACTGTAAACGACGCTTGCAAATGTTCCCTGGTTATGGTGAAAGAATGAACTCGGCACACAAAACCACAAGCTTTCAATCACTTGTAGCACTGGCAAAACCCAAGAATGGAATGTTCCACGAGGTTCTCCCAGAAAAATATTCCAAAAGTATTCTTTTGAGACTACATCTGCCCTAATAGAAGGAATTTAAATTGATCAGGTTTCCTACATGTACACTCACTTTGACAGAACTGCCAGAAAGTAACTAAGCTTCCCCTAGAAGCATCCCAGCTACACTTGCACCAAACGAGTGCATTATAGCATCACTGAGAAACTTCCCCTCATTTCCGAAACTGAGACAGATGCATACAACCAAATTACTACATGAGGTACCACTAGGTGCTCACCCTCAGCCATACTTTCCAGCCTTTCACTCTGTTTGCACAGATGCTCATAGAGCTATGTAGTGCTTGACTGAGAATTAAAACAAAATTTTCTTTTGCGGATCATGAAACTGTATGGTAAAGTGGTATGCTCGCTGACATTACCTCTAAAAAGGACAGGCAAGTGATATTTTGGAAATAAAGCAAGTAGCAAGATTCATAAGTAGAAATCCAACTTAGACACAGAGAAAATACATTGTTCTGGAAAATATCTTGAGAGTGATTACATTCCTGTTAATACATCACAGCATTAATGAACACAAGTTAACTTTAACTTACAATATGGAAAACATAATTATTTACTAGCCTTATTTTTGAAGAGAGGTACCATTATTTGAAATACAATCAAAATGATTCCCGGAATTAATAAGATGCAAGTGTTTCCAACTTGTTCCAAAAATGCAAGCTTCTGAAAGCTTGTACTTTGGTGGAAGTTGTTTTTTGTTTAAATTCTCTCATAGCCGTTGAATATTTATTTTCTGTTACATTAGCTTTACTCTTTTAAGACTTGTTTTTTGTTGTTCTTTTTGATAAAAACATACTTGTACACCCAAGGGAAATTTGGTTTTTTCCAGTTACACCCTTTTAGCTATAAGCAGAAAAACTAACATAAATTTAATTAAAACGGTATTCATCCCTCATAACAGTGATTCACTCCATATGGTTTAAAATTTACATTAAAAAACATTCCATGCATGTACCTATTGTACCAGTTGAACAGGAGCCAGTTAAGTCCTTCCAGTTGGTATTCCCTGAGCTGATTGCCATTTTTATATTCCCTGGACTTTTCTATCTTCTTCCACGAGTTTGGAGGTGGTCGGTCCTTTAAGGGCAAGATTAATACATGTGCAAGTTGGTAAACGCTTTATTTTTCCAAAACATTTTAACTCCCTATTTACTGAGTGCAACAATTTAGATTTAAAATGTAATTATTCAACCTTAAAACCAGTAAGACGTCACTGTTAACATTACTCACTAATTACTAGTCTGCGGAAACCTGAAATTTGTATTTATTTGTCTATATAAATTAGTACTTTAAAATTAATTTAAGACTATATTATAATAATACCAAGCAACTGATTTCAAAAACTAAGTGTACAAATAGCTTGGCACTGGTAATCTGAAACTAACTCATTTATAGTGGAGACTTCAAGAATATGTGAAGTTTCACTCTGGAAGCTCCAAGAACAGCTGTCCTACAACCAGAGCCAACCGAGTATTTGGGACTACTGAAATCCCCAAAGTCTCAATAACACTGGATGCTGATGCTATCCTCCTGAAGCAGTTTGGGCAATCTACACTGAGTTACTGTGATTTTGCCCTTTCCTTGCCGGACTTGCCCTGGTCACTGCTGATCACTCAGTCTCACA